CCCTGGCCAGCATGTTGATACTGATAGCATCCAGTCTAGTCTCCTTTGCTGCGCGAGGAAGTACGAAGCTGGGGATGTTCTTCAACTTGAAGTGGATTAAGAAGCCGCATGCGGCATGCTGCCGAGGCTATTTTTGTCACAATCATCCGTCCTCGATCTAGTGCAACACTGCAACAAATATTGCCTCGAGGCATTAATGGCAAGTTATTTGGGACTTTGATCTCACTTCGTTTCAACTGCTATTCACAATGACCAAAGGCAATTCCTCGAGGGATTCAACTCAACAAGCCCACACATCTAGCAGAGGAACAGCTCGTAAAAGTTCGGTACGTGGTTTTTGAGGGTCACTTGATTCACTCCACTGCAAACACTGACATTGACGCATCCTTCGTCTAGCACCGACCCCGTGGCAGAGTTGGTCGGTTTCTGGAGAAGGTTAAGGACGCTGCAAACAAGTTAAGGGTCTCGGTGAGTTCATGAGCATGTGTAATGAGTGTCCTGGAATACGACTCAGATTGGCATAAGCGCTCAAAGGATTCCCGCAGTCGCAGCCCTGTTCCCCCTGATGTCAATTACGAACGTGCTTCATCGACCTCGGTAAATTCTCATACTTGCCCTCCAGTCTTTGCGCTCTCTCTAAATTATGGTGGTCGCCCACACCCAGGCTACTCCGTCCGCTATGGAGGTGGCTAATATCAATCGGAGCTTCGCGATGTACCAGAGTCTGTAAAGCACATCCATCCACTTTCGAGACCTGCGAAAACCGTGGTTTCCGTTGGCCAAGACGGAGAGAAGGATTTCGATGCTGCTGACGGTCTCTATGACACCTATCTTAAACCCCTCAGGATATTCGACGCTGTCATCGGAGAGATCGCGGATGTATGGGCCCTCTTCTCGATCAGAACCGAACTAATCTAGTTCTACAGGTACATCCATATGCAAAGATGGCACTGGGCATGTTGTCTTGTGCAGCCAAAGTATGTTTTCATTTTCTCTCTCCTCATTTCCCACTGTTACTTAAAAATCACCTGTGCAGATCATTCTAGCTCAAGCAGATCGTGACAAAGCAGTACTCACACTTCTCGAGAAGTTGTGTCAAGTTTATGGCTTTATGACACAAGATCAGATGCTTGACCAAATCTCGTCGATGCGCGTTATCCTTGGACAGATCTCTCACCAGACCCTAGAATGTGCTCAATTTATCAAAAATTATTCGGAGACCAAGAACTTTTGTGAGTTATAACTAGCCGTTGGGCTTTGCACCGTCTCAAGTTTCTACCGTTATCACAGGGAAGAGACTTGGAAAGAACATCGTTTCGGAGACGAATGATATGATCCAACAGTATAGCAACGTGTTGGATATACTCATGCAAAACTTTCGGGACCAAGTCGCTCGCGACGTAGCCATACACGTCCACCGTACGGGTAAGGATCGGACGTACTTGTGACTTGACATATACTCATACCTTTTCAGGAGAAATACTAGATCTCAGTGGTATGACTTATGCAGCGGGCGCGGGCTTAGATACGAGGAAACAATGCCTCCAAGGGACGCGCACGGAAATCCTTTCGCAGATCACGGAATGGGTCAACAGCACCGGGGATAACGTTCCACGCGTGCTGTGGCTATCTGGCCCTGCAGGCAAGGGCAAATCGGCCATCGCTCATACCATTGCTAAATGGTTCGAAGAAGTGGGAGGACTTGGGTCGTGTTACTGTTTTGACCGCCAGCGAGAAGCAGATCGTCGCCATGAAAAGATCTTTTCCACGATCGCGCGCGACCTGGCTGACCGTGATCCGGAGATGAGGCGGGCATTGGCAGATGTAGTTAAGACCGCGAATTCGCTCAAAAATACAGCGGATATCACCCAGCAGTGGCAGAAGCTTCTTATCGGACCACTGGAGAAGTCATCTGGGTCAACTATGGGACCCATCGTGATCATGATCGATGCATTGGACGAGAGTGGCGGAGTAGAGACACGGAAAGACCTCCTCAGCATTCTAGCTGGCAAACATCAAAACCCGGCTGTCCCAAAAATCACAGACCTCCCTGGCAACCTCCGCTTCATCGTTACCTCTCGCCCGCTTGATGACATCAAAGACAAGTTTCGTGGTGTTCAGCATATTCGACAGATGTCGATGGATGATATTCCACGAGCAGATGCAGAGCGCGACATCCGTGCTTACGTATCAAAGGAGTTGGAAGGGCTGGATTTCCAAGACAGAGAGTTCGCAGTCCTCGCTGAGAAGGCTGATGGATTGTTCGAGTGGGCGCGTCTCGCTTGCGGATACATCAAAGAGTCCCATGCTGGGCTATCTCCAATGGAGTGCTACCAGGCTGTGGTGTCACGCGATCCTGCTGAGAGATGCCCACTATTGCATGATATGTATCGCCTCATTTTGAAAGATGTCATGCCCGGGGATACATCCCCGCATTCGCAGAAACTGCGTTCGACTGCGTTAGCGAGATTTCGCTCAGTAATGGGACAAATACTAGGCACAGCTGAACCCCTTCCTTTAGCTTCTCTGAATGCCATGAGGCACCATTTTCCAAAGCAAGAGGACAACTTCGACGTAAAGCTTATGGTAAAATACATGGGCTCCCTCCTTAGCGGCACCACCAACCCAGATTCCCCAATCCGACCCCTTCACGCATCATTCCATGATTTCTTGACGGACGAACGATTCAGTGAAGAGTTTTTCATCGACCTGTCAAAGGCGCAACGCGACCTTGCATTCGCATCACTTCGAGTGATGAAAGTCGGTCTTCGCTTCAATATCTGTGATTTAAAGTCGTCGTATCTACCTAATAGCGAAGATCCCGGTCTACAAGAACGAATTCAAAAGTACATCCCGCCACATCTGTCATATTCATCTCGATTTTGGACGTCGCACGTACAAACCACAGCCTTTGACAAGGAACTTGCGAAAGAAGTGAAATTTTTATTCGACCACGAGCGGGTGTTTTTCTGGCTGGAGTCACTCGCCCTGACCAATGGGCTTAGCGGTGCAGTTGTTGCCCTTCCGCCCATTGCCCAGTGGCTGAAGGTGAGCACATTGCTACTAGATGTCAGATAAAGCACTCATGCGCAACTACAGGGCCATTCTGAATTCAAAGATGTCTCGTCGACTGCAATGGACGTACAGAGGTTCATTCAAGTATTCGGTGGCTTGATTTTATACAGCACGCCACATCTATATGTATCAGCACTCCCGTTCTCGCCTGCCAACTCTCCACTATCGAGAAAGTTTTTTGCACGATTTCCGAATACTCTCCGTGTGGCATATGGACGTGATGTGAATTGGCCAGTTGTTCAGACCGTGCTCAGGGGGCACACTGGTGCAGTTAGATCGGTCGCGTTCTCGCCGGACGGCACACGCATCGTCACTGGTTCTTTGGATAAGACTGTTCGGCTGTGGGATGCGGGAACGGGGGAGCCAGTCGGTGAGCCCTTGCGGGGGCACACTTCTCACATTAACTCGGTCTCATTCTCGCCAGACGGCACTCGCATCGTCACTGGTTCTTCAGATAAGACTGTTCGGTTGTGGGATGCAGTGACAGGGAAGTCAGTCGGTAAGCCCTTACGGGGGCGCACTGGTTCAGTTAACTCGGTCTCGTTCTCGCCGGACGGCACTCGCATCGTCACTGGTTCTTGGGATAATACTATTCGGCTGTGGGATGCAGGGACTGGGGAGCCAGTTGGAAAGCCCTTGCGGGGGCACACTTCTCACGTTAACTCGGTCTCGTTCTCGCCGGACGGCACACGCATCGTCACTGGTTCTTCGGATAAGAATGTTCGGCTGTGGGATGTAGGGACAGGGGAGCCAGTCGGTGGGCCTTTGCGGGGGCACACTTCTCACGTTAACTCAGTCTCGTTCTCACCAGACGGCACTCGCATCGTCACTGGTTCTTGGGATAATACTGTTCGGCTGTGGGATGCAGGGACGCGGGAGCCAGTCGGTGAGCCCTTGCGAGGGCACACTCATTCTGTTTCGTCGGTCTCGTTCTCGCCGGACGGCACTCGCATCGTTACTGGTTCTTGGGATAACACTATTCGGCTGTGGGATGCAGGGACGGGGGAGCCAGTCGGTGAGCCCTTGCGGGGGCACACTGATTCAGTTTCGTCAGTCTCGTTCTCGCCGGACGGTACTCGCATCGTCACTGGTTCTTCGGATGAGACTGTTCGGCTGTGGGATGCAGGGACAGGGGAGCCAGTCGGTGAGCCCTTGCGGGGGCACACTCGTTCAATTTCGTCAGTCTCATTCTCGCCGGACGGCACTCGATCGTCACTGGTTCTTCAGATAAGACTGTTCGGCTGTGGGATGCAAGGACGGGGGAGCCAGTCGGTGAGCCCTTGCGGGGGCACACTGATTGGGTTAACTCGGTCTCGTTCTCGCCGGACGGCACACGCATCGTCACTGGTTCGGATGATGAGACGGTTCGGCTGTGGGATGCAGGGACAGGGAAGCCAGTCAGTAAGCCCTTGCGGGGGCACACTTCTTCAGTTTGGTCAGTCTCATTCTCGCCGGACGGCACTCGCATCGTCACTGGTTCTTCGGATAAGACTGTTCGGCTGTGGGATGCAGGGACAGGGGAGCCAGTCGGTGAGCCCTTGCGGGGGCACACTTCTTCAGTTTACTCAGTCTCGATCTCGCCGGACGGCACTCGCATCGTCACTGGTTCGGGGGATAACACTATTCGGTTGTGGGATGCAGGTACGGGGGAGCCAGTCGGTGAGCCCTTGCGGGGGCACACTCATTCAGTTTGGTCAGTCTCATTCTCGCCGGACGGCACTCGCATCGTCACTGGTTCTTCAGATAAGACTGTTCGGCTGTGGGATGCATGGACGGGGGAGCCAGTTAACGAGCCCTTGCGGGGCCACACTGATACAGTTTGGTCGGTCTCGTTCTCGCCGGACAGCACACGCATTGTCACTGGTTCTTTGGATAAGACTGTTCGGCTGTGGGATGCAGGGACAGGGGAGCCAGTCGGTGAGCCCTTGCGGGGGCACACTTCTCACATTAACTCGGTCTCATTCTCGCCGGACGGCACTCGCATCGTCACTGGTTCGAGGGATCACACTGTCCGGCTGTGGAATGTAGTGACGAGCCGGCCGTTGCAACAGTGCGCCGTGTCAGACTCGGATCCTTCAGCATTTTTAGATGAACATCGCACAATCGAGGCCACAGCTGCCATGCCATTGAATACTTGGAACAATCACCTCATTTCCTTCTCATCCAACTCCATCCATGCGCTGCGCAACCCTTCTGAGTTAACGGAGGGAGCATCCCATGACGACCGCAGTTCAACCTCCATTTTCCTGAATAGTGACAGTGGATGGGTTGTAGGACCCAAACATCGGCTGTTATTCTGGGTACCACCTGCTTCCCGACATCGATTTTATAGCCCCGGCACTTTATTAGTGATGCCCAGAGGAGGTCCTGAGCTTGATTTGAGCTGCATGGCACATGGACAACGCTGGCAAAAGTGCCGAGAGGAGTGAGTCTCTTCAATGTCCTTTCTGTTCCTCGCACTTACCACAATCTGCACTTGTAGACCTTAGTACCGAGGATGACCGCAGCAATGCATCCATTATGGAGATTTCAGATACGATTTAAATGTAACCGAGTGTACAGTGGATCATTCTTCGTATTCAATTCTATACCCAGCACCTAGTTCCAGTTTAGGGTTGTCCAAGGGAACGACTTGAGCTGACCGCATGGTACTCGTGATGTTAATGCTGATTTGTGAGAGTACGTAACCACAGGCAAGTCATGCTGATTCCATCAGAGATGTGGTTGCGCGTGCGCCGTGGATTGTGTCGAAGTGTATAGCATCGGCGCTTCCTCATAGCGGACTGAGAAGCTGAATAGAAGACAGCGTTGTTGTGGTCGTCTGTGATCGTTTAAGTTCCCGCTGCATCAAGTACATTCAACAAAGTGGGTTAAAAATAGGGTGGAACCAAATATGTAGCTAATTGCAAGTGTTCACTACAGCATGTAATCGCGATACCCATGACGAAGGCAATGGGAACAGGAGCACCATGAAAACGATGCGTGTAATGATACTGTGAACTGTGAGGTATGACAAAACAGCTGGAGGCAAAAGGGCACTGGGCAAGAGAGAGAGAGCAAGCGAACGGGGGATGAAAGTGGGGCGATACGAAGAGTAGGAGCTCACATCTTCCGGCACGATAGATGTCATTGAATTGAGGGTGATATTGGACGCAAGTGCATTAGGGTATCACATCGGGTGTCTTCGTCAAGGAGCTCTTCGATAGTGGATTTCTGGAGAGTCAACAGGAAGATCTAGTCTAACGACTACAATTGAGTTTTGTAAGTCTGCATTGAACTCGTGATACATACGTGGTATTACACGAAGCTAAGAGAAGTAGACTGCGACTCACGAAGCTGTTGAGAGGGCTTTCATAATACAGTCAACACACGCAGGCCCGGAGTCCTTGGTCGCAAATCGTAGTTATTGGGTGGTGCATATTGGCAATTTCCGTCATCCGCTTTATCCTCTCCAATGCAAAAACAAGAGGGTCGGTTTAACCGTGTCTTCGTTTCTGCTCCACAGGCATCTTGAGAGGAGCTGATAGTGACATTGTGGAGCAAGAGGGTGCGGTGGCGGCGTAGAAAGGGTTCGCGACATTAATTGATATCGCGTTAGGTGGGTGCGACGAGGGTGAGAATCAAGAGATCGATGATGGAGCTTATAAGCTGTTGATGCTCGCGAGAAAGCATCCCAGAACCGGCATACATCTGGTGTACCCTCAGCAAGGACATTGGGAAGCAAGAATCAGTTGTTTGTTCTTGTTTGTCCAGAACGAACTTCTCCATGATTGGAGTAGAACACTCGGCGAGATCACCACTGGCATCTGGAAAGGATCGAGTCCATTCTCTATGACCATTCAAAGTTATTGGTGTCAGAATCAATTTCATAGTGGCTGCCTTTGTCGACCAGGCCCTTGTGAGGATCGGATCAGCCGCCCCACAAGTAGCAAGATCACGTGATGTTTTGGTTGCAGTGAATTCTCGGCGTTCAGCAGTCAGCCAGCCTCCTATCTTCCGAGTCACTACCATGGCCCCAACTACATCATATAGATTTGATAGGACTATTCTCAAAATTATCACTACTGAAAAAAAAGGCAGGGAGGCTGCCTCAGATCCAACCAAGATTCCCCAACTGCCTAATGCTTCCCCTGAATCCAACCTCCAGGAAGCTCTCGAGAAGAACATTTCCATCAGCAAATCTGGAAGGACGCTCAAAGAAATTCTCTCTTTGTCTTGTCAAAACCTGAAATCATATACCATCGACAGAGTCAGGCCTGGTGTGTGGGGACAGTCTACGAATGTGAAGTACCATTCACAAACCAAGACCCTTGAAGTAAGTTTCAAAATATTTAAAAGTGCATAATTAATCTGGTGGGCTTAGGACCTTCAAAACGAGGTAGAGTTGATGAAGAGGCAGTTAGGGCGTTTGCAAGCCGAGCAGGAGGCCCAGCAAGCTGAGCAGGAGGCCCAAAAAGAAACCATGGCAAAATGGCAAGCCGCAAATGAAGTATTTCGAGGTGCGTTCAAATTTCTGCCTACCACTGGCAACTCTGCTGATTGTCGTCAGCGCTTGGAGAAATAGGTTGGAGTCAAATATCTGCTGAGAGGAAGTATGACCTCGTCAACACGAAAGGGATAAACAACTGTATGTTTAATATCACCACACTCAAAATGTACTTTCTAACTCGTGTTATACTAACTAGTTACAGAACTCTACTACAATTACAGGGCTTCTGATACTACTACCATGGCCACCTATCTATCAGTCGACTATCACATTCGCAGATTTGTCGATGCTGCCATAGCATTGAAAAGGGAGGTTGGGGAGATCGAGGTCATGTTGCACACCCAAAAATTAGTATGGCGTGCTTGCAGGGAGTGCTTGACAAGCTGAGTATCAGTGGCAGCCTCAGGGATCAATTGATTTCCGATGTGTATACAGAAGCATGATTGATTTCCATTGATGGTGTAGTTTATGTTCCTTGATATTCACAGTTTGTATCATACTGGTAGCAGCTTCAATGGCACGCTCAATGTCATTGAAATGGTTGGTCATAGCCCCTTTAAGCACGATTGTCGCTGTACATGTTTGAAGTTCTCTGTGGCTCTAATACCTGTCCTCACTGGGAGTGAGCTGATGGAGGATGCTAACACGGTCTCCACCAATTTCCATTATCTTAAAGAGTGTGCCAATGTAGGCGAGAGGTGTTGCATTAACAACATGAGCTACATGGCAGAGGTTCAATTTGGAGAGGACTTTGAGAATGGCGATCTTGAGAAGCAATTGAGGTAGTACTATAGGGACTAAGAGTACTATCGGTATAAACCTTGGGTAACACTCAGAGCCTGACCAATGAGATATTCTGCATTGCATCTGAGGATCGATCTTGGTCCTTGGAGTTGAAAAGTCGATGGACGATTATTGGACGTTTAGATTATTTCTTCATTCGACTCTTCCGATCGGTGTTGCAATGCTTAGCGCTTGCAGTCAGCAGGCTGCAGCGCAACACATCACTTCGAGGCGCAGTATTCGAGACTTATACTAATAATAGCCTGTTTTTTATATCATATAAACGGTGTAGGACCCTTCCTCATCCGCTACATACGTATACTGATTCTGATCGTCAAGTGCCATTCACAATGAGGAAAGGCAACTCATCAAGGAATTCGACTCAAGAAATCCGTACATCTAGCGAAGCAACAGCTCGTGGAAGCTCAGTACGTGGCTTATGAGAATCGCTCAACTCATTTCCACTCCAAATACTGACGTTGACGCATCCTTCGCCTAGCACCGACCCCATGGCAGAGTCGGTCGGTTTCTGGAGAGGGCTGAGGACGGTGCGAACAAGTTGAGGTCGGTGAGTCCACGAGCATGCGTAATGAGTGTCCTGGAGTACGACTAAGGTTGCAACAAGCGCTCGAAGGATTCCCGCAGCCGTAGCCCTGCTCCCCCAAATGTCTATCATGATGAACGTGCTTCATCGACCCCGAATACCGAAGTGAGTTCTCATCCAGTCTCTGTACACTCTCTAAATTCTGGTGGTCGCGCAGGTTCAGACTGCTTTGTGTGGTGTGGAAGTGGAGGCTGGTACCCAATTGGCAATTCAGTCTCAAGAGGCCGCAAAACGCATCCATCCATTTTTGGGACCTGCGATGACTGTGGCAGTCTATTGCCCAAGACGCACAAGTGGATCTCGATACTACTAACGGTCTCTGGGACACATATCTCAAACCCCTTAGGGTATTCGACGATGTTATCAGGAAGATCGCGGATGTATGGTCCCTCCTCTCGATCGGGACCGAACTAATCTAGTTCCACAGGTACATCCATATGCAAAGATGGCACTGGGCGTGTTATCTTGTGCAGCTAAAGTATGTTTTCTTTTATCTCTTCCTGTCTCCCACCGCTCAGCAATCATTTATGCAGATTATTCTAGCTCAAGCGGATCGCGACGCAGCGGTACTCAAACTTCTCGAGAGGTTGTGTCAAGTATACAGCTTCATAACACAAGACGAGATGCTCGGACAAATCTCGTCGACGCGCATTATCCTTGGACAGATCTCTCACCAGACCCTAGAATGTGCTCGATTTATCAAGTATTATTCAGAGACTATGAACTTTTGTGAGCGAACAAGCTGTTGTGCTTTGTACCATCTCAAGTTTCTATCGTCATCACAGGGAAGAGACTCGGAAAGGACATCGTCTCGGAAACGAACGATACGATCCAACAGTACAGTAACGTGTTGGATATGCTCATGCAAAACTTTCGGGACCAAGACGCTCGCGACGTAGCCATACACGTCCACCGTACGAGTGAGGGTTCAAACGTGCTTGCGACTGGACATATACTCATACCTCTTCAGGAGAAATACTAGATCTCAGCGGTATGACTTATGCAGCGGGAGCAGGACTAGATACCAGGAAACAATGCCTCCAAGGGACGCGCACGGAAATCCTTTCCCAGATCACGGAATGGGTCAACAGCACCGGGGATAACGTTCCACGTGTGCTGTGGCTATCTGGCCCTGCAGGCAAGGGCAAATCGGCCATCGCCCACACCATTGCTAAGTGGTTCAACGACGTGGGGGGGCTTAGTTCGTGTTACTGTTTTGACCGCCAGCGAGAAGCAGATCGTCGCCATGAAAAGATATTTTCTACGATCGCGTGCGACCTGGCTGACCGTGACCCAGAGATGAGGCGGGCATTAGCAAATGCACTTCAAACTGCGAATTCGCTCAAGAATACAGCAGATATCACCCAGCAGTGGCAGAAACTTTTGATCGAACCGCTGGAGAAGTTATCTGGGTCAACTGCGAGACCCATCGTGATCACGATCGATGCGCTTGACGAGAGCGGTGGAGTGGAGACGCGAAGAGACCTCCTCCGTATTCTAGCTGGCAAACACCAAAACCCTGCCGTTCCCAAAATCTCAGATCTCCCAGACAACTTCCGCTTTATTGTTACCTCTCGCCTGCTTGATGACATTAAAGCCGAGTTTCGTGGTGTTCAGCATATTCAACAGATGTCGATGGATGATATTCCACAAGCAATCGCAGAGCGCGACATCCGTGCTTGTGTATCCAAGGAGTTGGAAGGGATGAATTTCCAAGACAGAGAGTTCGCAGTCCTCGCTGAGAAAGCTGATGGACTTTTCGAGTGGGCGCGTCTCGCCTGCGGATACATCAAAGAGTCCCTCACGGGGCTATCTCCAACTGATTGCTTCGACGCTGTGGTATCACGCGATCCTGTTGAGAGAAGCATGCTGTTGTACAGCATGTATGACCTCATTTTAACAGATATCATACCCAGGGATACATCTACCCATGTCCACCATTCGCAGAAATCGCGTTTGACTGTGCTAGCGAGATTTCGCTCAGTGATGGGACAAATACTAGGCACAGTTGAACCCCTTCCTCTAGCTTCCCTGAACGCCATGAGGCACCATTTTCCAAAGCGAGAGGACCACTTCGATGTGGAGCTTGTGGTAAAACGCATGGGCTCCCTCCTCAGCGGCACCACCAACCCAGATTCCCCAATCCGACTGCTTCACGCATCCCTCTATGATTTCTTGACGGACAAATTATCCAGCGGAGAGTTTTTCATCGACCTGTCAAAGGCACAACGCGACCTTGCATTCGCGTCACTTCGAGTAATGGAACACGGTCTTCGGTTCAATATCTGTGATTTAAAGTCGTCGTATCTACCTAATAGCGAAGATCCTGGGCTGCAAGAACGAGTCCAAAAATGCATCCCCCCACATCTGTCATATTCCTCTCGATTTTGGACTTCGCACGTACGGACCACATCCTTCAACAAGGAGCTCGCGAAAGAAGTGCAATTGTTGTTCGACCACGAGCGGGTGTTTTTCTGGCTCGAGTTACTCGCCCTGATCAATGCGCTCAGCGGTTCAGTTGCTGCTCTCTCACTCATTCCCCAGTGGTTGAAGGTGAGTAAAATGCTACTGGGTGTTAGAGAAAGCGCTCATGCACAACCACAGGGCCATTCCGAATTCAGGGATGTCTCGTCGACTGCAATGGATGTACAAAGGTTCATTCAAGTCTTCGGCAGCACGATTTTACATAGCACACCACATCTGTATATATCAGCACTCCCATTCTCGCCTGCCAACTCTCCGTTGTCTAGGAAGCTTTGTACACAGTTTCCGAATACCCTTCGTGTGGTATCTGGACGTGATATGAACTGGCCGGCTGTTCAGACCATGCTCAGGGGGCACACTGGTTCAGTTTACTCGGTCTCGTTCTCGCCAGACGGCACTCGTATCATCACTGGTTCTTGGGATAACACTGTTTGGCTGTGGAATGCAGCGACGGGGAAGCCAGTCGGTGAGCTCTTGCGGGGGCACACTGACTCAGTCAACTCGGTATCGTACTCGCCGGACGGCACTCGTATCGTCACTGGTTCAAGAGATAAGACTGTTCGGCTGTGGAATGCCGCGACGGGGATGACAGTTGGTGAGCCCTTGCAGGGGCACACTGATTCAGTTACCTCGGTCTCGTACTCGCCGGATGGCACTCGCATCGTCACTGGTTCAGAAGATAAGACTGTTCGGTTGTGGGATGCAGTGACGGGGAAGCCAATCGGTAAACCCATGCAGGGGCACACTGATTCAGTCAACTCGGTATCGTACTCGCCGGACGGCACTCGCATCGTCACTAGTTCAAGGGATAAGACTATCCGGCTGTGGAATGCAACGACAAGGAAGCCAGTCGGTGAGCCCTTGCGGGGGCACACTGGTTTAGTTAACTCGGCCTCGTTCTCGCTGGATGGCACTCGCATCGTCACCGTTTCTTTGGACAAGACTGTTCGGCTGTGGAATGTAGCGACGAGGAAGCCAATTGGTGAGCCCATGCGGGGGCACACTGATTCTGTTACCTCTGTCTCATTCTCCCCGGATGGCACTCAGATCGTCACCGGCTCAAGAGATAACACTGTTCGGCTGTGGTGTGCAGTGACAGGAAATCCAGTCGGTGAGCCCTTGCGGGGGCATACCGATGAAGTTTACTCGGTCTCGTTCTCGCCGGACGGCACTCGCATCGCCACTGGTTCTTCGGATAAGACTGTTCGGCTGTGGGATGCAACAGCGGGGAAGCCAGTCAGCAAGGCGTCGTGGAGGCACACTAAATCAGTAATTTCTGTCTCGCTCTCGCCGGACGGCACTCGCATCGTCACCGGTTCTTTGGATATGACTGTTCGGCTTTGGGATGCAGCAACGGGGAAGCCAGTCGGTGAGCCCTTGCGGGGGCACACTGATGCAGTTACCTCGGTCTCGTACTCGCCGGATGGAACTCGCATCGTCACTGGTTCAAGAGACAAGACTATCCGGCTGTGGGATGCAGTGACAGGGATGCCAGTCGGCGAGCCCCTGCGAGGACACACTGGTTCAGTTAACTCGGTCTCGTTCTCGCCGGACGGCACTCGCATCGTCACTGGTTCGGAGGATAAGACTGTTTGGCTTTGGGATGCAGTGACAGGGAAGCCAGTCGGTAAGCCCTTGCGAGGGCACACTCATTCAGTTACCTCAGTCTCGTTTTCGCCGTACGGCACTCGCATCATCACTGGTTCAATGGATATGACTGTTCGGCTGTGGTATGTAGTGACAGGGAAGCCACTTGGTGAGCCCTTGCGGGGGCACACTGGTTCAGTTACATCAGTCTCGTTCTCGCCGGACGGCACTCGCATCGTCACTGGTTCGGAGGATAACACCGTTCGGTTGTGGTGTGCAGTGACAGGGAAGCCAGTCGGTGAACCCTTGCGGGGGCACACTGATGCAGTTACCTCGGTCCTCGTACTCGCCGGATGGAACTCGCATCGTCACTGGTTCAAGAGACAAGACTATCCGGCTGTGGGATGCAGCGATAGGGAAGCCAGTCGGTGGGCCCTTGCAGGGGCACACTGATTCGGTTACCTCGGTCTCGTTCTCGGCGGACAGCACTCGCATCGTCGCTGGTTCGGAGGACATGACTGTTCGGCTTTGGGATGCAGTGATGACGCAGCCGTCGCAACAGTGCGCCGTGTCAGATCCTTCAGCATTCTCAGATGAATATCGCACCACCACTACCATAAAATCGAACACTTTGAACAATCACTTCATTTGCTTCTCGCCAAACTCCATCCATGCGCTGTGCAATGCCTCTGAGTTGACGGAGGGAGCATCCCATGGCGACCACAGTTCGACCCCCATTTTCTTGAATGTTGACAGTGGATGGGTGGTAGGACCCGAACATCGGCTCTTATTCTGGGTACCGCCCGCTTCTCGAGACCCATTTTATAACCCTGCGACTGCGTTAGTGATACCCAGAGGATGTCCTGAGCTTGATTTGAGCCACATGGCACATGGACAACACTGGCAAAAGTGCCGAGAGGAGTAAGTTTTGACATATCCTTTCCGTTCCTCGCACTTACCAAAACCAATTCTCATAGACCTTCGTCCCAACGATGATCGCAGTAATGGACCCGTTATGGAGATTTCAGATATAATTTAGATGTGACCGAGTGTACAATGGATCATACTTCGTATTCTATTATATGCTCAGCATCCAGTCCGAGTTTAGGATTGTCCATGCTAACGACGTGAACCTATTGCAATGATGGCACCCATAATGTTAGCACTGGTTTGTAAGAGCGCGTATTAAACGACGGACAAGCTCACAATTGAAATGTCACCTATGACAAAATTACACTACTTCCTACGGCTCTCCGAGTGGGCTGTCGCTGCTCGCGGTGATCATCCGCTACGGGCTCCAACAAGCTAAGGTGAAGGACGCAAGAGAATTGATTGCCATTAGGAAGATTGTAAATGATGTTATAGGGTACTGCGCATCTGATATAAGGGAGGTAGTGAAGCAGCTTAAAAAGTTGGGTGCATTGGTGGATCTGAGAGTTGGCTAGTGACTCGTGGACCAAGTGAAGCGTTGATCGATACATACACATATGCCATCTATAGTGACCTACACCACAGAAACGTTTGATATCAAGAGGATACTATGTACACGGTAGGCAAAATCATTCTTCAGGGAATCTACTCGGAGCTTTGACTGTACAGCCTCGACTGCCTTCGCATCATTTGAAAATGTCGAATTATGTGAAATTCCCCAAAGTTATGGGTAGCAATAGTCTCCCATAGTGAAGAGGAAGACAGACGAACGGTGCCTTCTAGATGATGGAGTGGCAAGGGGCTCCAGGAAATCATTCGCCAAGTTCTGCCCAGTGCCCAACGAAAACGTCTGGAGCAAGATCAACATTCCAGGCAGCTATTGTAGATCTTCAAATGCCGTGGAAAGAATGTTTCTCTTTGGTTTCGTTCCCTTCGAATTCGGAATTCAGAGAATCCGTTCATGATTGCAATACCACTAAGCTGAATCCTGATGGTTGGAGATATCAATTGTCGCAGTAAAGGAGGGAGATATGAAGAACCAGACGACATATCCATATGGAAATGGACTTCGGGGCGTTGATGACTCTATAGAACATGTTGGAACGACACAGCTAGCTAGTAGTCGCGGTATGTGTGATTGGTTTTTCATAGGTAGAAGATAGTTGGGTCGCGGAGTTCAAATTTCTATGGCAGTTCAGCTAGGATTTCGCAGACTATGATATCATGTTTTGGTATTGTATCAGACCCAGGAGGATGCGGAGACTCTCACATCGTGTGGTAACGGTTATATTCATCTGTGCTACTGTGATCTTGCTCTGGTTAACTTCAACACCAGTCTCGGGACGCAAGAGCGCCGCCTGGACAGTCGCAGCAGAGATACTGGATACACTGGATACTGCTGTGGGTGACTATGTACGCTCTGCTGTGAACCTGTCCGTGCAAGCAGAAGAGAGCTTCTCGACCCGCCTCCTCGAGCGACGTGACGCAGCTGCTCAAGAACTCTTACAATGTTTCTCTGGCCTCTCTCAGTTTGGTTCATGCTCCTTGTCACATAGCGCTGTTGACACGACTTCCGCACCGCCTGTCGTACCATCGATAATTCCTCTGCCAGATGACACTCAGATCCACAACATATCTTGTTCTCGCAACAAGCCCATCTCGTGTCTGTGTTCTTCCCTCGCAGGAAAGAGACTGACAATGGTAGGCGGCGATCATGTATACCGTTTCCACAACCTCCTCCTCGATCACCAGAAGAAATCCGAAGGCAAACGATTTCCATGCCTCGGGAAGGAGTTCTGTACCCACCACCATCTATGCTTGCGGGCTACCCGCAACAATCCCGTCCTTAAGGAGGAGCCTATGCGCTATATCAGTTCGCCATCTGTCGAAGAGCTCGTACAAACTAGTTCATCGCTGGTCAATTACGTCTTGTCAGACACCCTTCTTACCTTTCCCGACCCTGAAGCGCCAGAGTATTCTGTCCCATACATCCATGCCTTCAGTGGCGTAAGGTCTCGCGAAACATATTGGCTAACTTCAGCGAAGAAAGCAGACGTCCTTCTACTGGGAAGGGGGTCATTTAGTGCACCACCATCGACGTACACAGGGAATTGGTCATTGCTTTTAGATTTCCCGTCTCACACGGGAAGTTATCATGCGAAGATACCTTCATTTGCTGCATCAATACCGAACCCCCTTCAGATTGTGGATGCTGCAGTACATGCGACTCTTTCGGTGTTTCTCCCTGAGATCAAACAGATGCTAAGTGCTCTCCATGTCAATGGTTGCTTGAACAGGAAAAAGAAAGTCATCTGGTTGATCAGCCAGCCGCGATTTCCTGGGAACGGCCGCGGTCATAAAAGCCTTTTCCTTCGTACATATTTCCTCCCCAATGGACAGGATGAGCCATCGCCGGGCGACTTGAAAGCAGTTCTCCTTCGCCATATTGTACAATCGACCAATGGGCGCTTAGATGATCCCTGGACGCTTTACCACAACGTTCAAGGTATGTTTTTCGGTCACACTAATCGTCATCTATAAACTCATGAAGTTATCTCTTGCATTTTGCATGTAGTTTACTTGCAAGACCGTCTCCTTCGTCAAATTCTGCCACGCTTCGGAATTCACCTCTTGCAGTTAGACAGCTTTGTTGAAGCTGGTCCGAATGTCGCTGGATTTCAGCTACAATATCGAGGTTCACACACATAATGGACGCGACTTACCTCTTTTTTTCAGGATCACGAAAAGCGATGACAATAGTAGTATATCTCCGAGTCCTCATGTATGTTGCAAACCCTCCGAATATTAGTGTTAGTTATTCTTGCATTCGCTCTTCCTATTGATGAGGATTTGGAAGTGATAAAATTTTGACCAGCGACTAGTACTCGTGTGTTAGCCAGCTCAAAGTGACAATAAACGAAATAAATGTACTCAGCAACGCAGAGTTCTGCACAAACCATCCTCATGGCATCATCAAATTTATTAATGTCTGACCGCAGCATGATGAATACACTTCTTAAAAGCTACATGGAATTGCTCAGACAATAAGAACACCGCACACCCCTGTTAAAGAACTTGGTGACTTGAAGGATTAATGAGTGTACTACAACCCAAAATGTTAAATCAATCATTCACAGCCCCTTAAAGGCGCTGTCAATGACAGCCAGCTGCTGTGCCCCAGTACAACTTCCCAGTTCCTGGCGCAGACACCGCGTCTTCCTTCCTCCCCCTATACGCCACGCCACCATTTATGCCCAATCCCTTCAATACTTCTTCAATACGCTCCTGCACATGACTCCACGCGCCCTGATTCCTAGGCTCCTCCTGCACCCATAGCACCTCCAATTGCATATTAGCATTGGCATAAGGCGCAAGCGCTTCACTGAGCGCGGCAAATGGGAACGGCGCGAGCTCTTCAACGCGTATGAGGGCGACGTGCGATTGGAGGTTGCGTGTTGCGCGCTCTTTTGTGAGGTCGTAGTAGATCTTGCCGCTGAGCAGCACGACGCGCTGGACGGCTTTGGGGTCGGTGAGAGTTGCCAGGTCCTGGAGAACGGGCTGGAACGTTGTTCCAGGACCCATGTCAGTCAGCTTCGATGATGCAGCCTGCGTGTTTAGTGTTAGCAACGCAGGAAGGGCATTAGGACGGCACGTACAGCAAGTCGAAGTAGTCCCTTGGGAGCAGCGACGATGAGTGGCTTCCTGTAGTTACGTTTGATCTGGCGGCGTAAGAGATGGAAGTATTGTGCAGGCGTGGTCGGGAACACTACGTGCATGTTTACGTTCAATTTCTCCTGGGCAACGTAGGAGTCGTCGGTGAGCTAAAAAAATGTGTTAATAGACATTCATTAAAACCAAGAAATAGATTTGCCTGCAACATCCGCTCTATACGGCAGCTAGAATGTTCAGGGCCAGCACCATCTAGACCGTGAGGGAGGAGCAGGACGATACCGCTCTGCTTCAGCCATTTAGCTGAGTTGGAAATAAGTCATGAACGGAAAACAAGCAAGCACACAGACGTACTCTCAGAACTCGCAATGAACGTGTCAATAATGATTTGTGCGCCGTTAAAGAAGTCACCAAACTGTACCATAAATGAATTTCTTTAGCTTGGAGTTTGGCAGTCGCAAGGAAATAATGACGCACTTGTGCCTCCCAGATAGGCAATAAATCAGGTCGTTCCCAAGATGCTCCATATTCAAACTACAATACTGTTAGACTGGAACTAGGAAGGGAAAAGAGTCTTACGCCAAGTACGGCCATCTCGCTGAGAGAGCCTTTGAAAAAAAATAAGACATCGTCCCGAAGAAAAAAAATTGATACTTACTATTTGCCAGTTCCAGCTTGCCCTTCGCCTCTGTAAGAGCGTGGTTCAGCGGAACAATCACGCCCTCTGTCTTCTGGTTCACCAACATCGCGTGGCTACAGATGCGTCAGCTTCCCTTATACACCAACGTAGCATTAACGGCACCGATGACTGAACGTCCCCCTGCCAACATCCTGCCCTGCGATGCGCACATCGCAGCCCTCAAGCATCAGCGAGCCAAACGCCATCGCCTCCGCACTTGCCCAGTCAACCCCTTCGCCGGTCTCAATGCTCTTGAGGCGGTTTTTCACATGCCTGTTCAACCGCGGGTGGATTTCCTGCGTCGGGCGTGGCTCGTGTCACTTCTGCTCATAGAGGGAATACACAGCACTTACGAACTCTTCAGGGACATGTACGCTGGCTTTGCCAACGTCCCTGAGCACAGCACTGCTCACGCCTGTCTCGTCTTGACGTGCTGCAGGAGATGCTGGCCAAACCATACCTTTCCACGCTCCCTCAAAGGTCACGGGAGGGGGGACATACGACGTTACATCCGTTAGCGCGGCATTCAGCGATGCTTTGTAACTGTCTCGGACAGCTCGTGCTGCTTCAACCGAGATCACACCGTCCGACTGGAACATACAGCCGTCAGCCCTCCCTTTGAAAACATAAAATGGCACCAGACATACGATGAGTTTATCCTCATACAACTTCGGGACAGAACTCCTGGTACGAATTTTTTCGTACATAAGCGGCTGCGTGAATGCTGGTTCATCAAGCTCATTGTGGCCCCAGCGGCGATAAACGATGAGATCGATTACGATGTCCTTGCGGAAGTGGTTGCGATACTTGAAGGCGATGTCGACAGCGCGAACCACATCTGTGTGTACTCAGATGGGGGTTGTGAGCAATGGTTGAGGTAGGGACGAACCTTCGGGGGAGTCTCCATTAACGTGCAGAACTGGACAATTGATCATCTTGGCAATGTCACTACAGTAAAAGGAAGAGCGGGCGGAGGAGGCGGGAGTAGTATATCCGATGCTACAACGTATGTCAGTATCAATTCGGGGAAGTATGTATAAATTGACTTGTTACTATGAGCAAAGATTAGAACAGTAATTCAAGAGAGTTGAAAGACATACTTGACGACAATGTGGACACTTCCGCCGCTTGTGAAGTGCGGAAGACCACCTGTAAATATCACGTTGAGCTGTGATAACTCGTGAGACCTGTATTGAGGCTACGAACTCAGACCAAGGGTTTCCATTACAACCCCTTGTCCTGTAAAGCTGGCATCGCCATGCAGCTGGACGCACATAACCTAGCGGCCCATGTGAGCACTTCAATCTACAAAAGATACCCCATAGCAATACCTTATCGCCAAGCATGCAGTCTTGGTTATTCTCGCCGTCAGATAGGGTCTTGAGCAACCTATATTGCTTCGCTCTGGCTTTTCCAAGTGCAACAGGGCTCACGGCCTCCAAATGGGATGGATTTGGCAGCAACGAAACTTTTATGCCATCAGCTTCGCCGTACTGCAATGTCGGGGATGCAACTTGAGTGACAGTCAGAACTCCCGCAGATATGGGATGTAAGATACGCACCAAGATGACTGAGGACATCCCCGGAAACACCCAAGGATTCGTCCACTTCACAACCGCCCTTGATTTTGTGAAAAAGGGAAGTAGGGTTGTATTCCAGGAGCCCAGTAAGCAGATTAAGGCGTCCCCTGTGAGGCATAGCAAGGATAAGCTGAGTTATGCCAGCTACATTCACATCAGCAATGATTCCCGTGAACTGAATGAAACGAAACAGACCTTTGGACGCAGCCTCGAATAGGGCGTCCAATGCGGGCAGCATGGACTCCCCGCCCTCAAGTCCATATCTCTTCAAATTCGGAAACTTGACCTGTAAGAAATTGTCCAACACCTCTGACTTGGCTAGCAGAGCATGTATGTTCTTTTGTCTATCCGCATTGATGATAGTCATGGGCTCCAAAGCGCTCTGCGACTCCAATAGCTTCGCAAACCACAGCCTCTCCGTCTTGCTCGGGAGGTCCATATATTCATACGCAATGCGGCCGACGTAGACGGAGTTGAGGAAAGAGGTGATGTTTTCAAGGGACCATTCCTGTTGACCCTCACCGGTCCAGATGATACCGTCTATATCAAATGTACGATCAGGGTCGTCGAGGCCATAACGGATGGGGTCGAGTGCGGCAACTCGCTCACGACGGAGGAGATCAAGAGGGTCGATCGACGCGGCTCTGTGACCATGCGTGCGCAGAGAGTCAGCATACCTCAGCAGGGGAGCATTGGTTGCACGGTTAGTGAGCTGGTCCGAGGTATCTGATCAGGGATTCGCGTGAGTATGTGCAGTGCTAACTACTTAGACAGCGTACGCACAGTCTGGGATGGTAAAGTCGCGTGCTTTGCGGAATCCAAACGATTCGTCATGATACTTTCTGTGCACTATGAGCACGCGGCCGCTGGAGCATCGCGTGACGCGGGCAAGAGTGTTCTGAGTCGGAAGATGGACCCGACCCGCAGAGATGGAGTTCATGGGGTAATTTCTCAGTGCCGTTAGAGACCTTGTCGAGTCTTGACAAGACAATGGCAGTGAATGCGGGGAAGAGAAGGGAAGAGACTAATAAGCTCGTAATTTTCGGTCGGAACATCATGACGATGAATATTGGCATGTATCACATATTTTTATGTTCCGGAGTCCCGACTAGTCCGATTCTTTTGATATTTATAAACATTCGAATATTGCAAGTTTTCAACGAACCAGTTTCAGTCTGCTGTTGCACTAGGTGGCCTTTGTTGGACGGAGGCCTAGTATCCGTATTGTTATGAAACGATTGAAGGTCAATGATAGTACTAGTGTAAGGAAGCTTCGCCTTCAAGCTTCGGTGCTGATACAAATTAAGCTTTAACAACCGCGACATTCGGCCGCCCTTTATTTTATTTCCTTTTCAGTCCACTTCGCAACAGACTAGAAGATTCAAATATTCACGCTTATATATTTATTTAGCCCTTCAACGATGCCATTTGTGCTTTGACATTTTTCCTCTCATACTCGCCTACATAGCTCTCGACCGTACTGGCTCTCCAGACTCCAGGACTCATTTAAGATTCTTAGTCATCATCCATCTTCATCTCTGCACTCATTGCAAGACTCAAGTCATCGACCACATACTACATATTGGATTCCCATCAATTGAACCTGCTAATAAAATTGGTCTTGATGTCGATTTCTTGTAATGAACTGATGTGGGTCTCAATTTCACTGGCTGGTTAAGTGTAGCATGCACCGCGCTTTGCAATGATTGGCCCCTTCTTAGTCTATTAGCACTGGGCAAGGTCACTGAGTCCTGACTGCAACCGGTGTGTGCAGTGCAGGTGCCCTCTCAGACAAGTGCCAAGTTGTCCTTCAAGCTTCAACATTTCAACTGCATCCAGCAAGTTTTCCACAACACTTGAACATATATCCATTCAATCTCAAATAAGTAGCTCTTACACCTTACAATTTCAATTGCTCCACAGCAAGTGGCAGATTTTGATCATTTTGTTACCCAGCTAATTGCCTTTGGACAGACTTACTACACCAAAACATCGTTTCACGACTCTATTACCTGTCCTCAAAAGATCCAAGTTGCAGCTTAGTCTTTGATTCTTGATCAGTGTCCTCAGTTATTCTGTTCCATCTCACAATCTGGATTGCAATTGTCATCATTCCCTTGTCAAGAATCAATGTCAGTCTATATCTGTCTCCTATCCCCTCTTGTTATCTGATCCCATTAACAGTTATTGGATATGTCTGAAGGAACTTGGGAAAAATTGTCCCAGGTCACTGTCAAGGGTGCTGAATATAACTCTTGTGAACGCCACCCTCATCCGAAATGTTTGGAAGGCACCTGGGTGGCCCTTCTCAACTACATCTATGGATCATTAGACAAGAAAGAAAACAATCAGATCATTTGGCTGCACAGCACAGTGGGTGTTGGAAAGTCTGCCATCACATTCATGGTAGCTGAAAGGATGAAAGGATTGAAAGTGACAGAGCAGATGCATATAGAGACGTGACTTGCAGGAACATTCTTCTTCTCTTGCAAGCATATAAAACGATGCACAACTGGTTATTTCTTTGTGATGCTTGCCTACCAGCTGGCCAGCAATTTCCCCAGCATTAGGACACATGTGAATAGAGCTATCCTTGAGAACCCTGCCCTTCTAGACCCTGACAAGCCTGTTTGCAATCAGATGGAAGGCTTGTTTCTCTGACCACTCAGGAATCTTTGAGGTAGACTATGCAAATGTGAGCCTCTGACATTTGTTATTGATGCCCTTGATGAATGCACATCTGAAACCCTCGATCAACATGCATTCAAATCTTTCAATGAAGACAAATCCGAAAGCAAGCCTGCTGAACTCATATCCCTGCTTGCTCAAGCTTTTCGCAATCCTGAACTGCCTGTAACTCACATTCTAATCACAAGTCTGTCATATCCCACAATCCAGACCCATGTTCCATCATATTCCCACGCCTTCCGAGCCTACATCCAGACCCCACTTCATATCCAACTCATTCCCAGATCCCCTTCCACTGTGTGCTCCACACCTTAGCAGGATCGACTCTGCTCCAGATTTACCCCTGAGCTCTGGACCATTGGATCTCCACTGCTAGCCTGATCCATATCCCCCTGTCCCATCCACCCTATGCACACTCCATCCAGCAAGACATCCAGACTTCACCTCATCTTGGATTCTGGACTATATCCACCTTCTCATATCCCGGTCCTGTATCTACCTTGTCTTCTGGATCCCCAGATCTCTGGACCTCCAGATATTAACTCCGGACCTATTCCCACCCTCTGTCTGATATCCTGCGCCTATCCCCATTTAGGCATCTCTGCCTTCTGGCTTTCAGTTACCTCTTGTTCCATCTTGCTGATTGATCCTTGTACAAGTCTTCATCTCCAAGTTCATTTACTTATGTTCCATCTTACTTACTAATGTGTTCCCACATGCTCATACATAGCCCTACTCCTTTGCTTACTGATCCCCTCAGATATTCTCCAGTATATAACCCCTGTAGATACTCCTGTAGTTCCTCAGTTTGAATATCATCTTAGATCCTGTTCTACTTGCCCAATCCTCTCTTGGACTTTGGTCCACCTAAGTCTGTCCTATCCATCAGGCCTAGGGATTGATTCCCTAGGCCAGAGCTCTGCCTTTCTGGCACTTACCCTCTTTTCAGACTTAGGTCCAATCCCTGTTCCTCCAACTCTACCTTAGGGTAGTCTACCTCTGTTTGTTTCTACATCAGACTCTGTCCGATGTACAGTGGCTCAAAAAACTGTCTGCATGTTTTGACATTTTTCACTATCTATGATATTGTGTGAGAATGAACAAATGGCTCAAGGACATGGTTATACCACATTGTAGTATGGCTTCAGGGCTTTCATTTGAGCCCTACACCGTGGGAATCGGTGGAGATATGGTGGAGACATAAGGCTTATAAAATGATGACTCATGTGGACAGTTTTTTGAGTGTATATTAAAACTATATAAATCATTATTTATGACACCACAAAAATCATGCCACTATTATATAAATTATGAAGTGGTGTCATTATGTTATTTTATGACTATATCTAACTATATAAACCAGAATATCTCATGTATCATAGTCATAATCACCATGAAAGCCATCTCCTCTGCTCAAAGAGATAATATTCTCTCTCTGTCTTATGCTGGCCTCTCTGCTTGCCAAATTTCCTCTAGAACTGGAGTATGCAAGTCCACTGTGGCCAAGTTTATCAAAGAAAGCCACCCAGACAAGGAAAACTCTTGTGGAGGACGTCCATCCAAGCTTACCTCTACTGACAAAAGGGCTATTATCCAACATATCACTACAGGAAAGGCTGATAATGCTGTCCAAGCCACCCATTATATCAATTCCACCATCACTACCCCTGTCTCTTCACAAACTGTGAGGAATGTTCTCAAGGCAGCTCATCTCAAGGCAGTAACAAAGAAGAAAAAGCCTCTTCTCTCCATCAAACATAGGCAGAGAAGACTAGCCTTTGCCTTAGCTCATCAACACTGGACTGTAGAGGACTGGAAGCATGAAGCATGTTATATGGTAAGATGAGACCAAAATCAATAGGATTGGGTCAGATGGGAAGGTATATGTATGGAATATGTATGGAAAAAGAAGGGAGATGGCCTAACAGACAGAGAGGTTAATGGGACTGTCAAGTTTGGAGGAGGTTCTTTAATGGTATGGGGCTGTATGGGATGGAATGGTGTGGGAATGCTTGCTGAGGTTGAGGGGAAGATGAATGCTGAGCAGTATGTGGACATTTTAAATGACCACTTGCTGCCTAGCTTAGCAGAATCAGGGATTGATGAAGAAGATATCATTTTCCAACAGGATAATGATCCCAAGCACACATCCAGAAGAGCTAAGGAATGATTTGAAGAACATAACATCAATGTTCTTGACTGGCCAGCACAGTCTCCTGATGTCAATGTCATTGAACATCTCTGGGGAACACTCAAGAAAAAGCTTCAAGCCTATGAAAACCCCCCTAAAGGAGTATGGGAGCTTTGGGAGAGAGTAGCAGTGGAATGGGGGAAGATCACAGCTGAGGATTGCCAGAAATTAATTGAGAGTATGCCTAGAAGGATAGAGGCAGTAATTAAAGCCAAGGGAGGTCACACAAAATACTAGAATACCTGGTTATTATTGTAAAATACTTGAGTCAAAAAACTGTCTACATGAGTCACCATTTTGTGAGCCTTGTATCTCCACCATATCTCCACTGATTCCCACGGTGTAGGGCTCAAATGAAAGCCCTGAAGCCATACTACAATGTGGTATAACCATGTCCTTGAGCCATTTGTTCATTCTCACACAATATCATAGATAGTGAAAAATGTCAAAACATGCGGACAGTTTTTTGAGCCACTGTAGCCCCTATTCCTTCCGGACCTCCAGGTGTCCTGTCCTTTGGACATCCCACCCTCCATACCTTTGGATGTCCTATCCTCCTGTCCTTTGTACCTCTGGACATCCCACCCTCCATACCTTTGGATGTCCTATTCTCCTGTCCTTTGTACCTCTGGACATCCTGTCCTCCTGTCCTCCTGTCCTCTGGACCTTCGGACCCTCAGACCTCCTATCCTTCCATCCTGTTTCCTGTAGAAGTATTACCTTGCAGTGGGGACTCTCCTGAGCACTTCCTGCATTCCTCCAGAACTCTCCCACGCTCCTCCAGACATTTCCCATGCTCCTCCAGAAGTCCTCTAGCACTCCACCAGAGTAGCCAGCCTCCAGAAGTCCTCTGGACTTCATTGGACCATCATCAGACCTCATATGAAATGAAGGGCACATACTTGGGTGAGAGGCACAGTGTACGAGCTGAGGCCAAGCCCCTCTGAGTCAGTCTCTCTCTCCCTTGAGCAACATGGTTCTTAATAAAGTCGCTTGGAAGGGCATATTTGTAAAGCCATGCAGAACAAAGATGTGCACCCACTGGTGGGTGAGATACCAGTGAACATTTCTAGCAAAGGTGTTGCTACTACCATCTCACTAGACAGTGCAGTTGTTGATGAAGACATCTATCATTTCTTGGAGGATTCCTTCAGAAAACTGCAGCTTCGCTACTCCACCTTCCCACAGCCAACAAATGCTCAACTTGAATGATTAGTGAACCAAGTGGGTAGACATTTCATTGTGGTAACTACAATGATGAAGTTTATCGATGACCAACACAATGATCCCTGCAACTGGCTTGAACTCATGCTTGAACTGACAAGTCAACTGCTTCCAGGAACAGAGGTGTACAGGTTATATGACCTTATTCTCTCCACATGCTCTGACCTGACATTGGCATACATGCACTTGTCTGTTGTTGCTGTCCTTGCAGATCCTCTTCTGATCTCACAAATATTGGAACTTCTTGGTCCTGGTCAGGGCAGGAACATCAAGAAAGTGCTGGTGCAGCTACAGTCTGTAATAGATCTTCCTATTGACAGCAGTCTCCCCATGAATATCCACCACTTGTCTGTTCATGACTATACCTCCCACCCCTCAAACTGCTGCCTCCACCAAGTACAATACACCACATCACCACACTCCCTACTCACACTTTCCTCTCTCAACTTGATGGTGCACAAGATTCCAGAAAGCATGGCCCTCTTGGATGCACTTTTAGAATTAAAGAAGCATAGCCAGGCTATGCAACCCCAGGATCCCCAGAATTTAAAACACTTGCTGTCCTTTGTGGTCCAACCACCAGAACCAATGCAAGTGCTTATAACTTTGTTGTGGCTTCAGGGGGATTACTGTCCAGAGTTACAGTTCTGGCTAGATACCCTGGATGGGCATGCCTGGCTGCAGACTGAAGGGGTGGAGGACTGGTTGCTGACCCAGAGGGGAGATGGAGTGGTTGCTGATTGACAGGGGAAAATAGTGGTTGCAGATCAAGGCTGGAAAATATTGGCTGCAGACAGAGACTGGGTGAGACTGGCAGCAGAGTGGTGGGCAGAAATGGTGGTTGACAACCCAGGCTGGGCGAGCTTGGTTGCAGACAGAGGCTGGGTGAGATTGGCTGCAGATGGAAGCTGGGAAAAACTGGCTGCAGACCAATGGATGGAAAGAGTGGTTGTGGACCCAGGCTGGGCAAAATTGGCTACAGACAGAGACCAAGTGAGACTGGTTGGAAACCGAGACCAGGTGATATTGGCAATGGACTTATTGCAGGGAATACTGGCTGCAGTGCGACAGGCAAGACTGGTTGCAGACCCAGGGTGCAAGAGACTGGCTGGAGACTGAGAGCAGGCAATATTGGTTGCAGACCCAGGACACCATAGACTGGCTGGAGATTGAAAGCAGGCAAAACTGGTTGCAGACCCAGGGCGCAAGGGACTGGCTGGAGACAGAGAGTGGGCAGGACTGGTTGCAGACCCAGGGCACACGAGGCTGGCTACAGAAGCAGGATGGGTGAGATTGACTACAGACACCATGTGGTCAAGCATGGTGGTTGACCACCATCTGGGTGACCATGGAAGAATTTTCAAGTACTTCTGACACAATCAGAGAGTATGTTATCTCTCCAGAATTGTCTTGGCATCCATCTTTCCAGGCAATCCAGCAGTTCAGTGCCTTGCCAGATTACTTGATGTTTCTGGTGTTTCTGGCATTTAGGCAACAGGCTCATTCTACCACAACATTACCAGACACTGCAATCATTTATGCTATGAAAGCCCTTTCGATTTTCGCAGATGAAGCACAGAAACGAAGCTGATCGGCCTCAGGCGCCCTCAACTATGCATGTCAAAATTGGGCCATTCATCTATTGTGAGCTCCGAAACCATGGGATCAGAGGCTCGCCCATACATTTCAGTCTTTCTGGAATTGCAATCTTCTTTCCTGGCTCGAAAGGCAGTGGTGCTTGAAGGATTTGCTGTCTTGTCTCACCATTCTGTCTGAAGGCGAGAAACTTGCAAAGGTGCTCATGCCCCCAGTGATTTTCTAGACTCACGACTGACCTGCTACAGGAACATCTCCTCCGAGCTCCTGGATCACCTCGGTAACCAGTCTGAAGTTACTGGTTTTATGGCACACGTCATACTAATACTGTGTTGTTATCACACCTTGATTTCTTGCTGTCAGTACAATGTTCATGTGTTTATGGTACCGTGTGATGCATAATTTGTTTTCGCCATCTCCTCTGACTTGAAAGAAACCCTACGTTCTGTAATCCTCGTATGATCGTTTTACCTGGCAGAGCGTGTCAACAAACTCGACTACATATATCATCCCAGTGTATGAATCACTAACGATCGGTTGAAGACTCAAGAGAGCTTACTCGGTATTCAAGGCCACCGACACTTGTCAAAAGAACGTTCAGGCCATACTTTTGGATCCCGGCCAAATTTTCAAACACTTAGTACACTTTACATCATATCACGATGTAGTTGGTCAACTAGCCCATTTACTCAACTGGCACACAAGGCCTGAGTATTTGGTCACTGCGGAGTGTTCATCCGTCGTGAGAGTGAGAGTGCGAGGAAATCAACTGGGCAGCTTGTCTCATCATACACGCTTGACTCCTTACATATAGGCATCCAAACAATATTGATAAGGGTAGTTGCGATGTTCGTGTGGAATTCCGGGTCTGGCCACCTACGGGAAGGAAGATGAGAGGCAGTGTCCGAATTCAAGGCTGGCTGCAGGGACCGGGAATGGACTTGATTGAGATAGTCGAGCAGCATGGAAGTGTCCGCATTTGCCTGACATGGACTCCAGATCGCTGCCTGTCAATCAAGGATCGCGATTACGACATGAAGACATTTTATAATGGTTTTGCGGGAAGGAAGTGGACGGTGTCGATCGATAGACAGCAGCCTGCGGATAATATAGACCGCGAGAAGTTGCAGAAACAAGTGACGGCGGTGGTTTTTCCTCCTTGTACCATGGCAGTGGCGCTTCGCAAAGGCCATGCAAGAGAGGATGTAAGAACCATCCAAGAGTATCGTGAGGTAGGTCGTCGAGATTGACATATGGGCCAAGCGTGTTGATGATGTCCTTTCCTTCGGGCATCCTAATAAACCATGAGCCGCCAACGGCGTGGAACCATTGCTGAAGCATAGTGAGCACAAAGTACAAGGTGACGTCATAGCTACAGTGCACATCCACACGAAGTGTTGCTACATCTTCAATGCCGACATGGCTCAAGATGGGCGGAAACCATTTATTGCTGGTGTAGGCAGTGAAATACAGAGAATTCAATGCTTTCGCATATACCAAGACCGAAGGAGATGGAGAGGGACGTTTTGAACTAGCCTGAAAAGCCCACGATCTGAGACCAAGTAACACAAAATGCATGTTTATATGGTCGATGCTAGGATAGGAATGGTATAGACGCATCGCAAACACTATATTTGCGTGCATTTATACCATTCCTACCCTCCATTTCCTTCTATTGCCCAGACTCGAGAAAAAAACACATCAGTATCCCACATTAAGAAGGGTACGAAATGGGAACATCGAAAAGCTGAAAACACTGTAGACAGGTCGTTTCTCATAACAGACAGATATCAAGATCCCTGAGCGCCACCTCTATGCGATCTTACCCAAGAGTCTACCTTGCTCTTGTCCCCAACGAGTCCGTGCTCGGCCTTCAAATGCCGACGAAGATCATACGCACGAGTTAAGATGTGATCACAGTGCGCTGAGGAATCAGAAAGCGGAGTTTCTGGAGGCAATAGCAGTAGATCCTCGACGTTGGGGTATGGACACCGTATAGTTTTTGATGTTGGCATGCGAGTGCGGAGGGAGTAAGCATGTCCGGTGATGCGATCGATGCTCAAGTGCGCTGCCGAGTCTGCCGGTTCGTTATCGGGACAATCAGTATCAGTGTCTGTGGATGTGGCACTGTCTGACTCGGACGGATCTGTAACAGATTGATCGCTCCGTGTGCTATGGATCTTGGCCAGATGCCTTTCGAGGAGTTTTTTATAGCCAAAGGCACTGGAGCAATGTTGATGTGGGCAAACATGATTTCTGTGGCCCAGATGAATCACATTGTTGTGCGTCGTGAGGGCTTTCATCTGTGCATGGCGTTAAAATTGACTGAAAAGAAAGATCCATCGACGATCGCACAGATTTGAATTCTTTCCCGCATTTGTCGCATTTCCAGTCTCTGCCCACTTCTCCACCACGTCTACGTTTGCGAGGCAAGTCTGATGGTCCTACGTCTGCTAGAGTGGCTTCTAACTCTTCTTGTTCATGTAGTTTCTGATGAGCGCGCAGATTGTGTTGGGAAGCGAAGGTTCGTCCATTGCATGAGGGATGCATACATGTCGGAGGGTGGGCCTCGCGTATATGAGCCTGGAGGGACGTCCATGTCGGGTAATATGTAGGGTCAGTGTTAGATGAAGGTAAGCAGTGTGGGTGTGCACACGTATAACGTTTATCTGAACGAATGATGAATCATCATGCGCACGGACGTGAAGGTGTACGAACCGTCATGTGTCTTGACGTGACCTTTTAGCTTTTGGTTCGTATCGAACGATTTGGTGCACCCTGAGTGTGTGCACATGTAAGGTTTTGTACCTGGGGGTGCGTGCGCTTGGCAGGTGTGAGATCGTAGCTGATGGTGCTTGGAAAACGCCTCTTCGCAGCCCTCTATCGTACACTGAGAAGACTAAATTAGTGTGGATGACTTGGATAGTGGAGATAGCACATACAGCATACGGTTTATCCCCGCTGTGCATATTCTCATGGACATGGAGGTGCTGGAGGGTCCAGAACCGTTTCTGACAGGTTGCTGATTCCGTACACACATAAGGGCGTTCTGACTCGGGAAGATGGCTTTTTGCATGTGCTTGAAGATGGGATTCACGCAGATAAGACTTTTGACAAGTCGTGCAGACGTAGGGACGCTGTTTGAGTTGATTAGCACATAGTGGGCGTAAAAAAAATCCCCACGTCACCTCTCCTGTATGGGACCTTATGTGCTCTGCTAACCTGCAAGCTTTTGAGTAGGACTTTGTGCATCCAGAATACGTGCAAGGATGACGGGCTTTCTTTGAGGAAGGCTCTGGGGTATCGTAGACGGCGAGATTCGCAGTTGAAGTCGATGGTTCGGGTTGTGGACTCGCAGAAATGTGTAGAACATATCTAGTAGCCTTGCGTTTCCCAAGGACTGTCGTCGATGACAACGCGAGCGACATACTGATCGGCCCGAGCGCTGTCTACTTATAAATTATGGAAGTGGAGCAGAAGCAAGCTTGAATTTATATTTTTACCGATCGGGGTTTGCGTGTGCTTAACTAGTACTTGTTCCCGCCCGCTCAATGGTCATGCATAGCCTGTCGGCGCCTACACGAAGAGAGGCCATCCTACTCATTTTCGTATTCGTTTCATTATTATTGTTCTCAAGAACGGGCTATGATACATCCAGGGTTAAATTCTGGGACGTCGATAAGTCAGACGCATCGCCTACGGCGCAAGTCGAGCCTTGGAGGACACGAATAACATGGTCAAACGGGCACGTACCAAACACCCGCGTTGTGTCTCACGTCCCTGGTACGTTCTTGCTTCAAGTCGTCGGAGCCGTCCCAGGCTGAGTAGCCTTCCATAGGATGGACTATTTTTGATAACCTCTTTGTCTTGAACGGCACTGTTTTTGTCGTGACGGATTTCCCATCAAGTATTCCCGACCGTCTCACCATCACTTCTACCGCCGTGAATATATTCAATGGTGAAGAAGCTGTAAATAGTCGAACCCCTGGGGACCGCGAGATGCGAGTTATTTCGACTGATCAAGCTCAAAAACTATTCGGTTCAAGCGCCGAGTCGATTGATGGCGTCACAGTGAGTGATAAGAATCATTCAACCTGCGCTAGTTGCTCAACTTTGGATAGTGGCTCGTGAACGATCCTCCTCAATTGTAAGTAACAGGGGCTAGCAACCAACTAGAGCTCATTTCAAATGCCAGCATTACCCACTATTATCACTGGTCGGCTGAACTCTTCTTTGGGTTCTGGCGGACGTATTCTTCATTAGACACTGCCATTGATGAGATGGGGAAATCTACGCTTCCCGCTCTTCGCCGGATATTCTTTGCCCATGTGGATGCAGACCATTGGAGGGATTATGCCTTGATGAACCAATGGGTCTTGCGCAGCGCCTTCCCCTCTTTGACAACAGAATACTCTTACGACTGGGAAGATCGCGCAGCTATGGGACGCCCGATGATGTTGGACCGCGTGATCTTTACTGACCGAGCCGCCGCCATGCATGGCGAACATTTCTTGAGTACCGGGCGAACAGCATCAGAGCCTTCCGCTTTGCCTGGGAGTGCGCATTGGTGGAGTACGATTCGCGCGAACGTTATTCGCGTTTGCGGGCTGGACCCGAATATAGCGGGTGATATGGCGCAGACGCCTGTTATCACGTACGTATCGCGTCAAGAGTGGGGGCGTCGTATGCTCATACAGGAGGATCATGAGCGTCTTGTAGAGGAGCTTTATAAGCTTCGAGACCTGTATGGGTACGAAGTGAACGTCGTTAGCATGGACAAGCTTTCTCGAGCAGAGCAGCTCGCTCTCGCGGCGAGAACTACGGTTTGCGCTAGTTCTTATTTTTTAGTTTGGTATGACTGACGATGGGGTTTTGTAGATCATGATGGGTGTCCATGGTAACGGCCTTACGTCGCTAGTGTGGATGAGGCCATCACCTCGAGCTACGGTAATGGAGTTTTTCTTTCCAGGAGGTTTTGCACAAGATTATGAGTACACCACGCGGGCTCTTGGCATGGTACATTACGGGTTCTGGGGCGACGAGTGAGCGCGTTTGTTTTGTTGTGACGTCAATGGCTGATATAACTGTGCAGGTACTTTACGAGCCCTGACACTCCGGAGCAAGCGTACCCTCCAGGGTTCCAGGGAACAAGCATTCCTATAGATGGAGCTGTTGTGGCGAGATTATGTCACGAGAGGCTTCTACTCCGGTAAAATTTACTGGGCTGGTCTTTGATGAGATAGACAATAGATCAAGTTTGATCCGCTCGGCCGTGGATTCCGCTTTGCTACTTGACTGACTTTATGAGGCCGGGACTTTTGTAAGGAGTGTTAGTACTTGTAGTATCTTACCCTTACTATTAAAACATTAGGAGTTCTATTCCTTTATGCTTACTTTCACATCTTCACTATCGACATGCGTACCAAAGCTTGAAGGACTGAATGTTAGACACCCAACAAATGGTGAATTGGAGTGAGGTTAGATCTGGGGCAAGACTGTCCACAGAACTAGGGTAACAGCGGTCAGACAGAGAATATGGATATGGATGTGTCGCACATGCTTAGCGCGCAGGCGTATATATGAGGAAAGGAAGTATAGATTAGAATGAACAGCGAGGGGGGGCTCACGGTGCTCTGCAATTGTAGACAACAAAACGGCTATCAACCCAAGGGGGTGAGTGACGCGGGATGATATAGATATGTATTTATAGCCATGTACGATGATACTTCGATATCATGGAGGTACATCGGCGTGTAAGATGAATCGAATTCGAAGTAGGCGCTTCTCATGAGAGATTTCGACAATTTGGTGTATCGTGCATTTTGGCAGCGACAGAACTGAGAAGTGTCAGCAAGGTTACCTTTCCGATGGTTCACAACGACGCTCGCCTGTTCCAGCCATACATTGATCGTGCAGGGTGCACCTTGTGCATGAGAATCAGATTGGTGGTGAGACTAGCCTCCGGATATTTCTGAGTCACTGGCGTTGTTGTCACTGGTTGCTTCTTTCCGTCTCGGACATCTCGAGTTGCTTATATTGCTTTCGTTGACCTCTTCCCTTAGGATTTCGTATCTGTGTCATGTCTTTTGAGGATTCCTGCGCAAGGTTAACTTCTCAGATGTTCTCGAAAGGCATTACATCACAACTTGAAGTGGAATATAATATATATTACACGCACGCTAATCATCCAACGCATCCAGTAAATTCTCCGCCTTTGCCTTCTTCCACCTCTTCTCAGTAACTCTCATGATATCCGGGAACCACTCCCCAAGCTTGCCCTCCACTTCCCGTCCCAACACCATATCTGCCAGCGCCTTCCCACTTAACCATGCATGCACCATCCCCTCGCCTGAATACCCAGCTGCGATCCATTCTCCCGGCGCAGCACCCACATGCATCCCCTCCCCTTTCTCACTTTTCACAACCGAACTCAATGGTGGCTCGCTCCTTCCAGATATCACACGCGGCAAACGGCCAACCCAAGGTATCAAATCCGCCGAAATGCCCAAAATACCACTCCACAACGCCTTGACGCGTCCCTCTGCCCACTCCCCTTCGCCCCCCTCCAAAGGCACCCCCTCCCTCCCCCAATTATTCTCCCCAAAATACCTAGGAAGCACACCAGATAAATGCGCCCCGATACGTGTGCTATACGTCGTATCGTCCGTGTTTCCCATCGCTTCGTATCCTTCGTCCCCGTCTTGCGCGAATCCGCCGCCTAGCATGAGCTCGCGTTCTCCTGTGGGGAGTTGGGTGAGGTAGTCATACCCTATTGGTCGGGTGTAGAAGACGAACGAGCGGTGGGTGGCGGGATTGGAATCGGGAATAGGGAGGGATTGTCCGGGGCGTTGGGCTGACATGTTACCTCGGAAAGGGATGATTTTACCGCGCAACTTTTCGAGGAGGGTTGCTGCCCAGCCGTTGGTTGCGTGGATGATGTGTGGGGTTGTGATGATCCCGCGGGAGGTGGAGAGGGTGTAGTAGGGGTTAGAATGTGTTGGAGGTGAGATGGAGGTGCATGGTGTATTGGTACAGAGTGAGAAGCTGTGGGTGGTAGGTCAGTTTCATTGGTTTCGATGGGAAGAGGGGGTCATTTACCGCTCGGGGTATCGTGATAGAAGCTTTGCGAGGATTCCAGTCACGAATTGGTATGGATGGATTGCGCCTGCGCTGGAAGATATGCAACCCAGCGTATCAGATGCCAGGCGGTATTTCTGGCCCGAAGCATAAGTTTCTCTTCTATGACCGTGTCGTAAAACGTACCTCGATAGCCTCTTTTGCTTCGTACACCTCATGGTGCTCAGCTTCGAAGGGAAGGTCTGCTTTATACGTCTGGACCTTTGTCTTCGCCTTCTCGAACATTTCCGAGTTATAAAACACATCTACAGATTCTACCTCTCGCCACTGAGATTCTGCAAGAACGCCTTCCTGCTCTGCGACGCTTCGTAACTCCTCGAGATGCGCCAACCTCAATTTAATCATTTTTTGAGCTACAACTTGTCCGTGATCACGCTTGAGCGAGGTGTAATCATGATATAGAGGTGGTGAGATATGCCCTCCGTTTCTATTGAGGATGTTAGTCCGCTACTTTACGAAAGAGTCGATACGAGATTTACCTCCCAGTCGCCCCAGAACACGCATCTCTCGCTTCCAACATAACAACTCTAACATCATGCCCCTCAGCACTTGCGCTATCCAAAAGCCTCCTCACAACCGACGTCCCAGTAATACCCGAGCCAATAACGACAAAGTCGGCATGTGCGGGGAGCTGGGAAACATGAGTGGCGATGGGGGAGGGTGGGTAGGACCAGAATGAACGACTGGGATTTGGGAGTGGGAGCCCTGGAGAGCTCTGGATGCGTGCTTGGAGAGTTTGGAAGGTCTGGAGGTTGTCGAGGAATTCGGCTAGTGCTAGTCGAGCGAGGGAGAATGTGTTGCCCATAATCGCCGGAAGAAAGCGGTTGTAACTTGTGGCGTGTGCGCAGTTTGTAATTTGTCGTTTTCTACGTTTTTTTTTTTTGATTCTGCCAATGTGCCCACAATGCATCTTCGTCTTGTAGATCAACATGCCATCCTAACGTTTCCTATGGGAAACATTCTCCGTTCAAGCTTCAAGTTCCATCACAAAGAGTCAGCTCGGTGTGTCGGTACAATGCCATTTTTTCTGTACTGACATTTCACTTTTGTCTCCATGAGATCAACTCGAGAGTGAAACGCAATCGGAGGGCCGCTGTTGAGATCTGAGATGTTGAACTTCACGTTGATCATTAGCTCACTGCGGCATGGTGTTCACCACCACATCGAACACGCCATCTTCAAGACATTGGCAGCGGTATTGAAGGTTGCATGTTTGATGTGATGGCATCTCGTTTTGTGTTATCGTCTGACCCAGTTATTACTGGTATCTTCACAGTGAGCGGTACTCATTAATCAGTGTCGAATATCTTTCTAATTTGCTTTGATGTGACTCCACGCATGATACCCCACACCATTAATATGTTTTAGTGTTACTTTGGAGCGCTGACGTGGGTTGAACTTGGAGTGCTTTGTTGAAATGCATAGCCTGTGTTCATCGATTATATTAAATATGGAGTCATCCTCTCCAAAAACAATATTTCGAGTCATTCTTCATCCGAGCGCAACGCTCTGAATTTGGAGTGAAATCATCGTTGGGGGAATGTGAAAGGCGATTAGTCTGCCAGGTCATCAACTGTTTTACATGGTGAGCGCTCGTTCTCGAATTCAAATGTACACTGATATGATCCCGCGTGTAATACTTTACGGCTGCAATGTATCGACCAATCATCAACTGGCACCGGCAACCAAACATTAATCATCACCCTGTTCCAGGCGCCCAAGAAGACTCGGTGGTTCTGTGCTATAGGGCCCACTTACATTTTCGAACCCTTATTATCGACAAGGGCGGTACCTTTAGGTGCCATTTTGCGCTGAGCTGCTGGCACATGCGATTATCGTCTGACGGCATATTTAGGACAAGAAAAGCAGTCTGCCTATCAATCAATGGTATCCACACGCTGAGTGCCCAGTGTCAAATATCAAAGTGCGCTGATACGACCCTACACAAACCAAATACTTTAGCCGTTCAACGGCTAACGATCATCCTGCTCCACGAGCCAATGAAGAGGTTAAGTTTCGAGGCATATGTTAGTACTCCTATTGTCAATTAACGAGCCCTCTGACGCCATCTACCCGATAGTGAACCCTGAGTCGCATTGATCCGTATCTTCTGTCTTGCACGTTGGTTTGTGCGACTGATAAGGCTTCTCGTGCATATCGTACTACCGACAGGCACCTACCGGGTCGAATGGGGAAGTCTGTTTAATGACTCCATACCAATTATAGTCGCATGTATCCAGCGCTATCTAAGTACGGACTCATCCGAGTCGGGCACTATCCGGATGAGAACTTGCGTCACAGTCTCGCCAGTTTAACGTATTGCCAAATCAGAGTCATTGGCAGCACCCTAGGCCTTTCTTTCGCGTGGTATAATCGGGAAGCTCTTTCCCATTTGAGTTGCCGTCTTCGCATGCGACCGCAAGGCATCTACCGAGCCTTGATCTGGAATTACATGTCAATGAGCGTCTAAGAGTCACATGGATGGATGAACGCGCTGGCATCCAGCTATTTTTTTTCTCTTCGTGGCACATCGAGCACTCATAGGGTTCCGTTCGAGTCTGGAAAGGCCCGTGCAGGGTATATCGCACGCGGGGATATCTTCGAACTTGAACTAGCCTTGGACCAATTTCATGGACACCTTGGAGACACCGGTTCTATGTCATAGTGTCGAAAAGTGCCTTGCGCCACGGCCGGAACTGTCTAGGCTTGCTTTGATGTCATGTAGATCACTGAAATCCAAATTTTGCTGTCAAGTCTTATATTCACCTTATTAAGGACTAATACCTACCATTAGTGAAATTATGACATGTTAAGGTGTAGAGTATTATAAGGGTAACCTCTGTAGCCAACAACTAATTGTACAAGGGTGATTCAACAACCCTCTCATTCATACTGGAATTGGCAGCATTACTTCTGTGTGATGAGTCATTGCAACTACTGACCCATAAATATGATATGATGTCTGGAATGGATTTCATTGTACAATTGTGTCATCTCAATTGCAGATAGTTGTTGTGATCACTGTGTTAGCCCTGGGGAACAATTTAATCTGTTAAGGCAATAAGGTGCATCGGCAGGAGTATTGTGTTATGAACTAGGATAGTTCTAATGACAGATGACTCAATAAGAGTCAGGACCTCTGCTGAGAATCTACATTCAGCGATAAGCCAAACATTCAAGGTAAGCTAAGACAGAGGGAGTGCCTCTGACTTAAAGTGATTGGTGGTCCTAAGTGAAGGAAGTTCCAGGTAAAACCTAGTAAGATTAAAGTAAAGAACTACAGTGGGAAGAGTCATGTATTTATAGGGAACAACTATGGAAGGTTTAGGGCAGGTGCAAGTAAGTAGTGATACAAGCATATAGGCATTGGCATGGGTAGGGGTAACCCACCTGGGTCACAGGTAAGGGTACCTCACAGGTATGGGTGCAGGTAGACACACTGGGTATCCCCCACCTGTCAAGCAAGGTACCATACCCATCACACCAAAAATGGTGGTTTTGCACATGGTACATATATTAAAACTATATAGCATCAAGATAACCTTATTTCGGTCACTACAAACAAAGCTCTCACAGATTTTGAAGTTCAACTTTGAGAAGCCCACCATATCTCCATCCACCACAATGTTCAGCAAGCGTGTTACAAAACTGACAGAAAAGGCAGCACAGGCTCTTGCAGAGGGTGGCCAAAAGCTGAAATGGAAGATTAGTGCAAGTAGCCAAGAACTTTTGCAGGGCAAAAAACAAAAGAAAAAACCTTCAGCATTGAAGAACAATCCTTCGACATCTGAAGAATCAGTCACTACAAACCCCACTTCTCACACTGTGAACTGATGAGCTGCTGTACAAACAGAGGAGGAGGACAATACCTCTTCCAATGCTATCATTGTTGACTCATCATCCAACACAAGTACTGAAGCAGACATATCAGATGCTGAGGCATCAGATGATGAGCTCAGCAAGTCATTTATCCCTGTATAATATCATTATGTTAATAAGCCTTCATTTCCATCAGCACAACTACAGAAAGGATGGACATCACCAGTATATGCCTTCTTTGAGCCAACACCAAATATTGAATACACTGATGGGAGGTGTGTTAAGGTCGTACTCAAAGGATAACTGGATCTGAAGGGCTTTGGCCTCAGCTCGTGCACTGTGCCCCTTACCCGAGTATTGCCCTTTATTTCAGGAAGGCAGGACTAATGTGTCTGGAAGGTTGGATGAGTAGTGTAATGGATCTGGACGACTTCCAGATGAGGGATAAGTATCATAGGGCTAATCCAGACGAGTCTAGACTAGAAACTAATGGTGATGGACTGTCAGAGACAGAGGTGGATACGGATAGACTATAGGAATCAATCCTAAGTCTCGGAGGGTGACGAGAGTAGAGATACTCAAGTCTGGAGGACAGGAATGAACAGAACTAAGATGATATTCGAACTGAGGTACTACAGAAAGTTACAGGAGGTTATATACTATAGGTATCTAACAGAATGATCAATCAGCAGAGTCCGAGGCTATGTACAAAGCATGTGGATAGTCTATTGGTAAGTAGAAATGGATCACAAATCATGAAACGGAAATGAAACATAGGTAGTGGATAAGGGAGCAGGATGGATATACAGATAACCTGAAATACCGGAGTTAGGGGGTTACTGAAAGGGGACAAGCACTGGTTGTGGATTCGGATGAGTTGTGGACCAGACCAGACAAGTAGACAGGTTGAATGACGAGATGTTGGAGGGAGATAAGATGCAGATAGGATTGAGATAAGATGTGGATCTGAGAAGAGATAAGGGTCGGATCTGAGATCCGGATATGCAGATATGACAAGGTGTTGGAATGGCAAGCATGCTGCAGCTGAGAAGTGTTCATTGTCCATCTTGTATGTTCCCATTATTGTCTTTTGCCTGTCTTATATGTTCTTGTTACACCATTTACCATTGTAATACTGAATCTTTATTTGTTTTCCTTTGTACTTACAGAATCCATTGATCTCATGGGCCAGCGCCTTACGTCTTTTGTTACAAGTCTCAGATACTTATTCACTTGCACAAGAGCATATAAGCTATTTAGTTAGCTACAGATTCGGACTAACACCTCAGATGTTTGCCTTTGCATGCACAACTGAGAGTATCTGATTGTTACAGATCCACGCAAGGCTGTTATAACTTTCACAGGTTATGAGCCCTGAGTTCTGAAGGAGCTCAACATCTCACACATTTCAATTGCCAAAAGCTGCTATACACAATGTCTACTACTGTGCCCATCACCATGGATACCCTGCCTACAAATGTGCCTAAACTCAATATCAAAGGCACCAACTGGGTGATATTCTCGCTGCGCTTCCAGATCGCTGTTGAAGCAAAGGACTTATGGAAACAATTTGATGGAACTAATCCAAGGCCTGTCAGACCATCCATGATGTCTGGGGGAACGACCACCATATCTCCTCCTGACCCCATAGCACTCGCTCAGTGGCAGAAACACAAAAACCTTGCAAAACACTTGCTTACCCAGTGTATCCCTGATTCTACTGTGTTACATGTGTGGAACTTGTCTGATGTTGTCGCAATGTGGAAGGAGATTGTGCGTGAATACACTGAGAAGGGTGCTTATGTGCAGACTGACCTCTGTACCAAGTTTTTAGAGTCGAAGTGTCCAGGTGGAGGAGATGTGCGCATGTTCCTTGATGAGCTTCATGCCAAGTGTGACGAATTGTCAGCAGTAGGAGTCCAGATAGAAGAAAAAGATTACTGGTCAACTATAGTCCAGTCCCTTCCTAACCATTTGGCTGCTTTT